CGCTGTCAACATGATTCGTCTGTCGTGGTAGTCTTTCACACAATGACGGAATTTTTGGCTTCCATCCAAACTTTGCAAAAGGTAAATGCCACAACCACTTGGAAAACATTGTTTGAAGCTGTGCGTCGCTAAGCTGATCAATCAACGTTTCTTCTTCACCACTTTGGTCATCATCACAGGGTTTGTTCACCCTTTCCTCTCCAAGCATATAATTCATTTGCGTCAACCATTCTTGCCTCTGGAGAATTTGTTGCATCAGATGGGATTGGTTGGCCCATGGAACTACGCACATCTCTAAAGCTGTCTTCTGTGCAATATGGTCAGCAATGCGGTTCATGGCAATATGTTGCTTTGTAGACCCCGCCTTACCGGCAAGCTCGTCAGTTAGAGCAGCTGTGGAAATGTGAGGCAGCAAATGGGAAGGGATCCACACCAAACGAAATGGGTCAGGGTGAGATGCCCGACGCTCCCGCCACAAACCCATTATCCACACCCACCATGACCGGTGGGAGACATTCAGTGGGATTCCACCAACCTGAATTTGCGCAAAAAGCTTCACTATGGTTTCCGAGTCAGTGTAGACCACACAGGGACCTGAAGCATGTGCCAGTGCGACGATGATTCCCCACATCTCTGCAGCATATGAAGAAAGTGAGAAGTGGAAAACTGGACCTGTGTCCATCACATTACCACCACAGTCAACAACCGAAAAGGCAGCTGAAGTGAGCCAAAAAACATCAGGCCACAGCAAAGAACCATCCGTCCAATACTCAGCCACTTCCTGATCCGCGGCAAAGGCTGAAGCACAAGGAAATGTGGTGAAGCAGCGCAACCGGAGCATTGCAATTTCATATGGATGGTCCACGATACCAAGCTTGGAAAAGTTCAGCCCCAACTCATGTTCAGGAAGTATCCCAAGCTTCTGGCGCAAGACCGGACACTCTGAAACCAAATGAGACAAAGTTTCTCTCTGCTGTTCACAAAATCTGCAATGATCGTGATCAATAAGCCCTGCAGCTTTCAAACGGTCACGCGTGAGGGAACAGCCCACTTGCTGTGAGTCAAAGAAAGTCGTCGCATTATATTGAGCTTCCACCTGAAGAGACGACTTTTTCCGAAAAAGACTGGACAGGTCAAAATCGAGGATGCCCTTAGGTTTGAAGAAGTCTTTGCGTTTCTTGGATTCACCTGCAAGTTTATAGCACACATCTCTTGCCAAATGTATGAGTACTTTACGAATGTCCTTTGGGTGCAACAACTCCAAGGGAATCCCATGGGAACAATTGCGGAAGTGGAGATTGAAACTCCGACTAAGACCAAACCCAAAAACCTTGAAGGCGCTACAAACTTGATCAATGAGAGAATGCTTCGTGCGATGCCCGGAAAGGGCCAGAGACTTGCATGTTGCAAGGATGTCTGAGTGGGTATGCATGACACGAAGAAAATCACAGATCGTTGCATAGGCCCTAGCTAGAACAGGTTCAGTCCGATGTGGTTGTCCTAGCAATCCCATCACTAACCACTTCGCTCTCCAGTGCGGCCTCCGCCCCCAAAGCACATTGGTCACTTCATTTTGAATCTTTTTCACAGCCAGTTTAGGCATCTTCGTAATGGCTGCACCATAGGTACATTGGGGGATGACTTTAGCAGAAATGAGCAAGCATTTCAGCCGGACTGGGAGTGGTAACGCAAAAATATTGCGGGTGTCAAGCAGTATCTTCTCCAGTTTAGAATCCGTGAATTGAAAACTATCACGATCAAAGGTGTAAATCTTAACACCAAGCACATCAAATTCAAGACACAGTTGCATATCTGGAAAAGCGGACTTGACAGCCTTCCTGGCACAACTAGTGGTTCCCCAAATGGTGGATTTAGAAGAGTTCAGCTTCTGTCCCATGAGGTTATCCCACAAAGAAGTGATCTGCAAGGCGCTCTGAAGGACATGGATGTTGCACAAATGCGTCCAAATGTGCGCATCATCAATGAAGGCTCGATAAACCAAGCCCGGAAGGCAATCTAGCATAAGAGCCCAGACCTTGGTGAACAAATTGACCGCAATTAGAGACAACGAGCATCCCTGGGTGACTCCATTCGCAGCCGTGGTAGCGATCGGGGAGACCCAAGACTTATAGCCCAAATGTCGGCGTAAGTTACGATAAATCTTTAGAAAGGCCCTGGTGAGGCCTTGCGGCAGGCCAAATGCAAGAAAAAGTGCAGCGATTTGCTGAGGGATCAACCTGTCAAAACACTTACTCTTATCAAGTTTGATGCCTACTAAAGGTTCACCCTGGATCCGAGACTGGTCGATATCGACCCTAAGTTGATGATGGACTGCTGACATGTTACGTCCACTGATGGCTCCTTGTATCGCTCTTGGCATCGTAGTTGCTTGCCACTCAGCAAGTTGGGCAAACCTTCTGCCCGTGTAGGCAACAAGCACACATGGCATCAGAGTGATGAGGCGCTTTTGGAGAGGGGATGAGTTACCATTCTTGTTGAGAAGGACTTGTTTGGCCACTACCAGGGTGGCTGGTGGTTCAAGTTCAGTCTGCTCAAGAAGATTGAAGATGTCAGCAAAGGCTTTGAAACATAACGGCGGGAGACACTGTAGCTCTTGTGTACGCCACCCATCCAGGCCTGGGGCAGCTTCAACCTTACGCTTTCTCCTGTACAAAGAGGTCTAATGCACTTATTTCAGGGAGACTAATAGGGTGGAAGTCATGCTTAATGTAAGGCCAGATTATCTGCAAAACCTTGACAGGGTCCTCGTGCATAACGTTGGCGGCAAACACGTCATCCCACTGGGAATTGATGCATTCAATGGCTTGAATGGGGTCATAAACGATCTGTTGGTTTTCATCTTGAACAAGATTGGCTGGTTCATCAGTAGCACGAGATTTGAGGTGCTGGTAGACAAATTTGCAGCCGTCTTGCTGGCACATCTGGATTTTATGTTTCCAAGACCGAATACGAGCAAGTTTCTTCTTATGCTCATGGTCTTTCAAGACCTGCTGGAGCCACAAACCTGCATCTGCGAGTTGCTGTGCCGACGGATGAGTGTGTTCAATCCACAGGTATTGATATTGACATGACCTAAGGTGACACCACAACCTTCTGGCGGTTCGGTCAGTGGTGTGTTGGTCACTGTCAGACCTGGAGGTCCGGCTAAGTCTGAAAGTCAGTTCCGAAACAAGTCGCAAGGCCTTATGGATATTATCAGCCAACTTAGTACGGGCACATCCGCTTGGGGTTTGTCCCAAAAAGATTTGCTTCTTACGAAAGGAGGGGGCCTGGCCACGGACTTGAGGACCCCTTCCCCAAACAGCTCCATTGTGAACAAGCGTGTCAATGCAAATCTGATTAGCTACTTCCCACTTGCGTTCGATCGAAATCGACGGATCATCGAGATCAGGCTGATAGGCAGCAAGGGTGTGAAAGGCAGTAATGTGGAGCGGGTCCACAGGATCATTCACGTCAAACTTGGGTACAGCAGAAATGTCAAAGGGGGCCGTCTTATGCAGTTGAAACCCAACTTGAGACAGGGATTCCCATTGGAAGGTTGCCCTAATGGGTTTATGCTGAGTACCAGTGGCTTCAATACATGAGATATTGACTAACGCAGCAGATGCAACCGGATTGAGGAGGATGGCATCAATACTCGAGCACCCTTCTTCGGAGCTAGGAAATGAGCTGTCGAGCGAAAAAGTAAATGGTCGAACACACTCCCCAGAGGAATCCACAGTGGTAAGGGGATCAGACCATCCTCCAAAATTCAGTGCAAATGACACCGGTTCATAACAATCAGGCCGAAGCTGGAGGTCCCCAGCAATGACACATGGGATATCCCCGAATTGAGAACAAATGGAAAAGACATCTGTCAAAATCTCCTCATTATACTTCACAACATCAGCAAGCGCAGAGGCGGCAGTCTTCAAGTACAATGAGAAAACTAAAAGGCGGATCTTGGGGGCCACCTGAACCCACGCAGCAGTGACCCGAAAGGTTTTGTGGCATTTGGCATATAAACCAGTGGCATCATCACTACAGTCGAAGGGAGTCGTGATGGCCTCAAGACCCATGATAGCAGTACCTCCGTGAGACGACTTCTGAATTCCTTGGGAATTAATGAGCCCAGGTAACAAACGCCCTGGGAAAAAGGTGCGACCATGTGCTTTGACGTGGCGGGCAGTTGTACGGTGATTATTCACACCGACACGAGTCTCCTGAACACAAATGACCTGATCAGACCACCCTTTCCACAGCTGACTAGTATTCATGGACCCAACATTTGCTGTCACGAGCGAAAAAGTGGGGCTCGAGTCAGGACCTTCCCCAGGAAAGCCCAGAGTGGCATCAAACGACAAGAACTGCCTCCTAAGGTATTTTCCAACTGAAAAGGAGGACCCCACGAACAATTGGTTCACAAGCCCAAAAAGAATCATCTCTCGAGAGCATGCACCTAGGAAACGACAATCCCGTAGAACAGGCCGCTTGCGATTTTCGACCCCACGAAACTCCGCTTCAAGTCGTTCAACTGACAGGGAGAACCATGGGCAGTGGTCAATTACTGCTGCTAAACTATTGCGTATGAACTGGCAAAAGGACAAAGACGAACGAAGATTTGCTTGGTAAGCTGGAGTCTGGCGATCCCCATCGCACAGACACAACTGAGAGAGAGCCAAAAGCCAAATGGTAGACACAGAAACACTGCCGAGGCAAAATGATGGACATTCACCGACTAAGGCCAGTTGCTTCATTTCAAAATCCATTGACAGGCTCAGACAAAGAAAGCTCATGATATGAATGCTCGCTGCATTCTCAACACAATTTCGGAAGAAAAGGCCAGTGCATGTGCGGAGCCAACGTGGAGCTCCAAGCCTCGATCCATAGTGAGCCAACTGCTGAAGGACACAGGAAGGACACAGAACAGCAACGACAAAGACGAAGACACGGGCAAAACAAATGCAGAAGTCCAACCATGAACCAAGGCTTGCACAATTTCAAAGGCCAGGTTTGAGGTGTTTGGGAGGTGGTGTCTCCCCGGACACGGGCCGATCACGTGGATGCGAAAGCTGCAAGAGTTGACGAAGCTGATCACCGATTTCATTAAAGCGGCTATCCAGCTTATGATCCAAATGGTCTTGCTTGTCTTCGACCTTAGCAACCTTCGACTCGAGAACATTGAACTTGCCTTCTAGCTTGTCGAGTCGGTCTTTCTCAGCCGATTGGAAGGCAGGGGTCAGGTCCTTCCGAGCTTCAGGTCCAATCTGTACAGTTGGGCCGGTCTTGGTGCGCCCCTTTCCTTTGCCTTTCGAAGGTTGCCACGACGCTTGCGGTGACAGCAGGATTTCGGACTCTTTGTCATTGACCTTGAGGGCAAAGGAGAGCTTTGTCGGTTTCTCCTGGAACATAACCAACCAGTGGTGAACACCTGCTTGACGATATGCCCTCGATGGGACAACAGCTTGGCCCGTGGCAGCCTTGATGGCCTGAATGACATTGATTGCCTGCGCCTCCGTGGGCCAACCAGAAGAGACATATGGGAATCGCGGCACTGTACTCATATTGTCCTCACACAACCTGGAGTCAAGCGGAAGCAGGCGTCGCCTGGCTGCGGCAATGTGCGAAATCCATACACGCAACGCTACCCCCCGACGTGTCATCACCAGGCCAGCATGACCCTCCAAGCCTTGGGTGGTCTTCACAGCATCTTGAAATCCCCCTTGTGTGAGGTCCCAGAATCGAGGTACAACGGTGGTGTCAAAGAGCTTCGATTCAGCATCTTGGTGCAAGTAGTCTCGCAGAAACGCACCCTCCCGACCAGATGCCTCCAACAAGAAAGCACGAGAAGCCTTTGGGGTCTTGAGCACACACTGAACCTGGTATGGAGTCGGATTGACCCCTTGAGTTCCTGGGAGCTTAGAGTTGATGCGAAAACCATACAGCGAGGTGGCTTCCAGAGCCTTGGAAGTGCAAATGCGTGCCAAGATTTGCCGAATGGTAGGCAACGGGTGTTCCTTCAAGTCAGCAAGGACCTCACGAGTCGATAAACGAGAGTCGAATTCAATGACAAGCTCTGAAATTTCATCTGTTTTGATGGTGGTAACCGGCTTGGCAAGCTTGTATTGGACCTTGTCTGTGACAACCAACATGTGAACCAGTCTTTTGTAACTGGACGAGGTGCCTGAGTCATAGACGATAGTCTCAAATGGGCCTTCAATGCGGGAGGCAAGTTCTCCGTAAATCGCCTTGTCTGTCACAGGAAGCAAGAGAGCGGTTGGTGCAGAAGGCTTCAAATCCAAGATTGCCTTGATGTGACCTTTCGTGGCGAAGACAATTCCACCATGAGTTGGTGTCACCTGCAAGCGATGACGCTGTGGAAGGACGGACGCATCAGCAGCCACAAAGGGGTGGTCTTTGGCCAATTGTAGCTCATCCCATTTGACTGATTTCGGTTTCGTAACAGGACCCTTTTTCCACGGGTCTGCAACCCACAGGGGGTCAGGCTCAACTTGCATCGGTTGTGGCTGCTTGGCCTCATCAGTGTTGGCTCCCGCAACAACAAAATCAGGCACGGCAAATCCATGAGCAATCTGCAGTAGTAGTTCACAACGGACAATGGACGCCAAATGGGCTAACACCGGAGGTGCTTGGGAGTGACGAATGCCATTGGCAAAGGATGCAAGGAGAGAAATCCAAGGACCTGGAGTCACAGACAATTCAGCCAACAGATGGAGTCCACGACCAGTACAGTCAACAGGCATACCAGCAATATGCATGATGTCAAGTACCGCCGCCCACCCACAGAGATTAGGTGGTTGGAAGAGCTGGAAAGTGCGCACACTACATGACTCAACATTGATGCCCCAGAAGGTAGCCAAAGCCCGCACCAACAAAATGGCCACACGCAAGGGACAGCTGCACGCAAAAATCCATGTGGAAGCCAAACACTGGATGCGAACAGAAATCCAATGTCCCTCAAAGGCCACAAGAAGGAAAGAGTGCTGAAAGCATAACGGCTGAGGACAGAAAGCAGACAGACCCTGAACATCATCTGCCAAGGAAGGCCACAGCAAAGGCGGTAGAAACCCATACTGAGGGCACCCTGCGCGCAGAGACCGGAACACAATTTCAACTTCGTCACTTCCCATCCAAAGTGGAGTGGTTGCGATAGCAGCAAGTCGAGCAGAGACCGCGGAGTACAACATTGCGGAGTCCATCATGCTCCATGTCAAGCAATCATTGACACAAGAGACTTGGTCACTCATGCCTGCCGAACAGTACTCGTGATCCCCTTTGTGGAAGAGGATATAAGCCAGGTATTGAGCACGTGCATTTTCCGCCAAAGTGCGAAGAGCAGTACCCCTAGTGACATTATCAGCAGCAATGGACATCTCATCCAGAACCTCTTGAACACGATGACCAATTTCAGCACGCTCAATCTGCGACCGCTGGGCAGGAGACAAGGGATGGCACACAAGATGGAAGCGCGCAGCCAGGACCTGGATGATGGCCCATCCACAAAAGCCTGGTGGTTGATTCAGATAGTGCGGCGCCGGATGACACTCTGCCGGTGCCAAATGCCACAAGTGAGCAACTGCACGAACCAAGGCATGCAACGTAGCATTGTCTTGTTGAACCGAGTGCAAAATGAAGAACCACTGATCTGTCTCACGGAAGACTGAGAGCAGAGCCCAGTGCCCATGAATCTCAATGACAAGGAAGGTTTGGTCATAGGCACGAAGATCAAAAGGTATCCCTGCAATGGAGTGCAGAGTCAAAGTGGATCTGTTCCAACTCAGTGCAGGGCCGAAACCAACCGTGGGATTGGACACCCGCAACAGGTGCAGCCAAAAGTTCAGCTCATCGCTAGCAAGCCAGAGTGGCTGTTCCAAGAAATCATCGATCCTCCGAACATGATATTCGGCCAGGGATTCATGGTAGTCAACTTCAACAGGGACGCCAAAGCCCCTGATCCCAGGTTGTAAACCAGCAGCAACAGTGTCCAGACGGGACAGGAAAGCCCCACCAGGTGAAGCTAGGAGGCCGGTGAGGAAGTGAATCCGCACATGTTGGGCAAATTGCACCAAGTGTTCAGGTGCACCAGAGCTTTCCCACGCAGTCATGGAGGAGGTAATGACATCCTTGAGTCGTTCATCACTGAAAAGAGCATTCTCAACTTCGTGTTGTCGCAGAAAAAAGACACGATGCAGAGCCAAAGCAGAAGTCCAGCGGAACGCCAGTGTCCAACCACACATGTCGGCAGGATTCGGTGAGCAAATGATCACATCATTAACCATGCCAACAGGCCGCTGAAGCCACCGAGCAGCAATTGCTACTACTTGCGTAGTCAAGGTAGGAGACAGCTGAACAATGGTTATGGTGGGATTACGAAAAGGCTCACTGATCTCAATTCCAAACCAGTGAGCAGAAAGCAGAACTGGAATGAAGGTGGGTCTGTCCGGGGCGATCACAGGTGCAGCCCCTCGTGGTATGATTTCAGTGCCCCTCAACTCCCAGTAGATGGGATCAAGTACTCGAGCGTCCGCACTATTCCACCGAAGCCACATGGCAATGTGAGTGAACTCGTCCGTAGCAAGCCACCCATGCGTCTGGGCAGCAAAATTGAGTCTCTGATGCAGTGAAGCAGGTGCAGCCAAAGTCAGTGAAGCACAATCTTCATGGTCACGAGCTCCACCACACCGAATCAGAGTCTCAAAGGAATAAGTGATCACATCCAGATGACACAAGGCTTTGGAGTCAGCAACGAAAGGTTGGTTGTTGTGGAACTTGGGGCTGAGCACACGGGAGACCATGCCAAAGAAGTCCGCACGTGTATAAGGTGCACTCAACGTAACCTGATGTGTCACATGCGGAACGTCATCAGCCTCACAAATGATGACAGTCTGCCTGCGGATCTCAGGATCCAGAGAGGGATACAGCAGAAAGGCAGCGCACATCAATCTCCGGAAATTTTGTGCTGGAACCCTCTGAGCGAAGCAGATCTCCTGATCCACAAACTGGTCAACCGTACGACCTTGCAGCTCAGTGGTGGTGATGTACAAATCAGCTGAAAGGGTGCGACCATTCCACATTGCCCTGATTTCAAGTTGCTCAAGCTCACAGTCACGCGCAAAGCGAGGATTTTCAATGATGGAGGTAGCCTCATGCAGCTTCACCTTCTTCACCCAGCCCTGCAAGACATCATCATCTTCATGCAGATCAAGCACATTGATCGCCAAGGTTGGTGAAACAACCGGAGGTGGTGGAGGGCAAGAAGATGCTTTAGAAAATCCAAGAGCAACATTTCCTTGCGGCGGCAACAAGGCAAATGGAGGGGCATCAACCACAGAAGAAGGGATCCGTTGGAAGCACACACGCGCAAACATGGTTCCCTTGAGGAAGAGTCGCCAACTGCCGCTATGCTGCCGGACAACACCAACGATGTTGGCAGGTTCTTGGATCTCATCCACAGGTTCAAGCTTGACATCAATCCAGTGGTGCGACGGAATCAACAACCGCTGAGCAAGCAGGTCACAGATACGGTGCATACCATCAACAACGACAGCGGAGGTCCGCCCTTCAAGTTCGACAATGAAGTCAAAGGCCAATGATCCCCCGTTACCTTCCTCATGCCAAGAGAGTGGGATCCTTTTCATGAGCTCCTGCGGTTGGAGCAAGAGGATGAAGTTGCCCTCAACGATAGCACACAAATTCCACGCGGTGGGAACATCATCCCAAATCCTTCGGACGGTAGGAAGGAGTGGGATTTGCTCATCAGTGACAACTGCGAACCCAATCAAAAGGGCCAAGAGTGACTGAGGCACCGAGACAGCGTTGCCAAGGATAGCAAAGGCAAGGTCAAGCTTCGTTGGGATAGCCACTTGATGAACAGCTCCCAGCATGATGATGTAGCGCAAAGGGTCATGGAATCGAAAGTCACCGTCACAAAGATCCAAGGTAGCAAAGATTCCCTTGACCTTCAAATGGTCTGGGGACAACAAGTGCTGCTGGGAGTAGTTGGCACAAAGCGTAGGCAAAAAGGCTGATCACGAGCGGGAAGTCGTCGTAGCAGTACATCATGTGATGGTGCATTCGGGGCAAGTCCAGCCGCCTTGGCTTTGGGAAGCAGTTGTCGATCAGCATAAATCGCCTTGATGGAATCAGGAAGAACAAGCTGCTCAGACACACAATCAGGCAGACGGCACTGGAACAAAGGTGAAGTCCACTGTGGTACACCCGGTCTCTGAAGCCGAAAATCCACCTGAAGGCAAAAGGCAGGGACATCTTGCCTCACCCAAGTGGCTAGCCATCGCGAACGGTGCATCGGAGCACATGTGTGATAATGAACAACCTGGGACCAAAGCAGCTTGTATCCTAGTGCATTAAAAGCAGCAAGGATGACCTTATAGTGCCCATGATTCACAATGATGTCAGCACATTCTGCCGACACAAAGAGTGGCTGTGCATATCCTACCAATTCAATGGCTTCCAAAAATGACCGTCCGTGCAGTGACTCTAAACCAGTTTCCTTTCCGCCGAGGCTCCATGAGATGCACGGGGGTGACATCGTCATTGCCACGTTGTCCAAGAAAGTCAGTTCCTGCAGAATCTGTAAATCCTGGATAGGGCAGCAAAACACACGGCACTTCTCTTCAGATGGAGTAGCAGGTCGGAAAGGTCCCTCCCTCACCTGAATCCCATGGGTCTTCGCCAGAGTATGAGCTGCAACCCAGTCTGAGTCAATGGCAACTTCAGTTGCAATGCCCACATTGAGATCACTGGAATTCAGCCACGATGCAGCATGACTCCATCCGCAGAAACCTCCCGCAAACAGGTGAATCATATTCCACGAAAGGCACTTCTCCAAGTCCGGGATGGGGAGTACAATCGTCTTAGTATCCAAGGAGCAGCGACCAGGATCACGGTCCCACACAGGAAAAATCACCTGAATAGATGATCCCACCACAAAGCGAAGCATCCTTGGGTCCCTCGGTGGGAACTGAATCACCATTTGCTCACCTTTGCTAGCCAAATCAATACCACGCCCTTCCCGAAAAGAGAGGATATTTACCAGGCAACACTGATCCTTCATGTCAATGATGTCACCAGCAAAACAAAGCAAGGTTTCAGTTGACCTGGTCAAACGTGAAAACAAAGCTCTGATATCCTTTTCACATGATGAGGTCAAAGCAGGATCCAGCTGCTGAAGCATGTGATCAACCATGGCGCAAAAAGCCGGGCGATGATCCAAGTTGCAAGACAGTATCCACAGGGTCCAATGCGGGTGCCAGCCCTGTGGGGTCTCGCTTTATGGACGATCGACCCGGCAGTGACGCGCGTAGCCGATCCGCGGGGCCCGCCCTCCCAAAGGCAAAAAGCTGGTGAGCCAGATGCCTATGTTTGTATGTGTTCTTTTTTGGTGGGGTCGGGCTGGGCTGGTACTGGTTTTCATTTGTGGATTTGACCCGTTTCAGGACGATGATGAGATGGCTGCAGATCAGGGTTTGGATGCCGAGGGTGAAGGATGTGAGACTGATTCTGATCTCTCCTCGTCAACTGCCAGCTTAGATCTGGCAAAAGTCCAAGCGGTTGTAAGCATACTCCAGAAGCGGGAGGCAAAGAAGATCCTCGAGGAACCCAAATCTAAATCTTTGCCTATGGTATCTGACAAGGCTAGGGTTTACATTCTGGGTTGGTCTTCTCAACCTTGTCTGCCTTAACCCTGCCCAGATATTCTTTGTAGTGTTTCAGTCTTTGCCCCTCTAGGTGTTGGATGTCTTGCAGAAGCTGCATTGCCCTCCTCCTGTTAAGAAGGTGGCCGATGAGGAGGAGGCTGAGAAGCAGCTAGATGAAAGAAAGAAAACAACTAGGTCGAACAAACCGAAAAAGAATAGGAAGAAAGTGTCTGCCAAGAAGGCGCAGAGTGGACCATCACAAAGCGCACCATCACAGAGTGGTGGACTTGATGTTCTGTACAAGCCTGGCAGCTTTAAGTGTGAGTTTGAAAAATTTGTCATGGAAAAGAAGGCCGAAGGCCTCACTCACCGTGAAGCGCAGGAGGCTTGGAAGAATTCCCCTTTGCGCGAGAAGCTTCTCGCAGGTCTTTCGGAATCAGAGCGCAAGAAGCGGCGCTTTGACAAGTAGTAGGATTCTTTATGTTTGTAGTTTGTAGCGATCCTGGGGCTTGAGCAGATCGCTTGTTGATGCTGAAGAAAGCTTGCACCAAGCCGTGAGTAGTCTTTTTTCAGCTAATGAGGATTGCGTTCTGACACTTCCAGAGTTGAAGGTGGGATTAGCCCTAAGCCACTTCAGGCCCCGTCTGGTTTAGGACCTGTGACTCGTTGTGGTGCTCATTGTTGATTTGAGCAATGCCGTTTCCCAGTGTAGCTGCGATGCTTCGCTGGCAGCTGCCGCCGTGCATGATCTTCCTCATAGTGCTCTTGAAATTCTCCAGGTCAATTCCAGGAGACAACATTGACTTCTTGGAGGTTTTTGCTGGGTGCGGTGCGCTGTCTGCTTGTATGAGGGAAGCGCCTTGTATAGTCAAGAAATCTTTTATTTGCTGCTATGTGTTTTCTTTGGCCTGAAGGTGGAGAAGTCTTTTCAGAAGCCTTTAAGAGCTTATAGCCCGGGCCATGTTAGGACATGGGCCATGTTCAACTCTCTAACTTGACACTTCTGGTCATGTTAGGCAGACTACATGGGATGCTCCATCGATGTCGAGTATGACCACCGCACACAAGACCTCACATCTCCAGCGGGTTGGCTGTTCCCTGGCAAAATTTGTTTCCAGTATTGGTTTCCTTTTTGAAGATGGTTGAAATGCCTTCAACATGTAAAGGAAGACGGTTTGCTGTTTGTGAGCTTGCAGGCTGACGTTGAGTCAAGTACTACGCCTTCGCAGGGGTGGACTACTGGTGGCTGCTTTGCTTTGCAATTCCTTCTGCAGGATGCAACCCGTCTCAACTCTTAACTAACCTTGTCTGTGGGGCTTTGCTTGATTGCTTTCCGGTGGATGAGGGGGGAGACAGTCAAGTCAGCTCCATTCAACCCAGGTCCAGGGCAACATCGCAGCGGACACGTTTTGCACCAATGGGGTGTGAGCACTATGATTTTGTTCGAACTGGCAATTTGCTGGCATCTCGGGTCTTCTTGACTCTATGGTTGGCGGCTGCTGTTGATGTACGGTTCCTTCTTGAGCAACCCGGAGGTTCAATTCTGGGTGAATATGCCCCGATTTCAGGAGCTGGTTCAACACGTTTCCGTGCCCTGGTGTCTTCTGTAAGCTTTGTTTCTTCAACCACCCAATTTTGCTACAGATTGCCTTGAAAGGCTTCTTTCCAATCTGCTGGGTTTCCAAAACGCCACTTGGGCTTCCCTTCTGGGACCATTATGTGTGGGTCGCCCACATCATGGTCCTGGCGCAGTTCTTTCAAACCTGTTTTGGTGGGTTGCGTGAGGTCTTTTGGAAACTGAAGCTAAGGTGTTCAAGGGAGGCTTTTGGATGGGCATGTTCAACGGCCCGACTCCAAAACGCCATATGATCTGGACCAATGACGAGAAGGTCGTGAGAACTTTGGACGCCAGGGCTGGCTACATGCCTGCTTCGCTCAAAGCAGAGTTGAGTGGTGAACCTTTGGTGACCAAACATGTTGACAAGAATGGCGTTATGAGGCAGACTGGTGTAAAGCGGAAACTTAAAGCGTCTCAGATTCTCGGCCTCATATTCCAATTGTTCTTTTGATTCCCGCAGTTTCCCTTGCTCAAATGAAAGGGGGAAAGGAAGAAGGATTGGGGGATTGGGGGGGAACTCGTCAAGCTTGGGCTCTGGTGTAACTAGTGAAGTTTGGGCCCTACCTAGTTCTGCTTTTGGCAAGGAACTATACTTCTGCCTTTGGTGAGTTCATTGCAGCGCTGATGACCGCCCTTTGCACAGAGGAGTTCTCAAAGGAGCCCAGAGAATCTTTCCGTGCGAGTCCGCGCTTGACAGACTATGAGCTCTTTATGAAGCATTGTGTGGACGCTGAGTTCAACTTGCTGGGCGACATGTGGTTGGACGCTACTCACCGATAAGTACATCCTGGCTTTTGTCGTGCACGTTTTTTTTTTTTTTTTAATTCTTTGTTGTATTGGAGTGGGAGGGTCAAGGGGTTCAGTCCTTAAAGACTTGGCTGTGATTTGAGGCTCAAATGGAGGATGTGCTGAAGTACTTGCGCAGTTCTTCAACGCTTATGGACAACCTTCCTGGACAATGGTTCAATCTCCGCAGGGTGAGGTTGCCATGTCACCTGGCTCTCGACATTGATAATTTGTGCTATCTGAAATTGTGTGTGTGTAGAAGTGTTGACGGCTGGCCCAAATGTGTGGGCAGTGTTGTCGCTGTTTTATGGCAATAGCTTGAACCATCTTGAACCTTTTTCCATCACTTGTTTGAAGGAGGGGTATATCTGGGGTTCAGTGGGTGACCCTTTGATCAAGGTGATGCACCACGTGTTATTGATGACTTAGAGACGGAGTCAGATTGGGAAACTCTATTGGGTTCTTGTGGCTGTGGTTGACAACAATTCAACATTTTTGGTTGTCTTAGGTATTTTGTGACTGTTAGATATTGAAATTGAATATATATATATAATATATATATATATATTCAATATGCGTTTCGTGGCACTAAGGATGGTATGGACCATTCTTTGTGGGGGGGCTCTAGCAGAAGAGCCTTTTGTACATGTCCAGAACATGTGCACACGGGCCGCTACCGTGAAAAAGCGTGATTTGTGCAAAATAAACCCCCCATTTGTCAAACATTTCCGCGTGAATTTCGTGAATTTTTGTTTTTAGGAATTTCAGAAATTTCCAGCAATGGTTTATCTTTAGATACGATTTTCAGCTCAAGTCTTGTCAAACTTGCTCTGCCTGGTCACCATGTTCGACATCGACTCAATCATGCAAGAGCATGCACTGAGCCGAGAGGAGGCTGCAGAAGTTGTGAGGGCTTTGAAGGCAGCTAGCATGGATTCCTGGCAGTCATGTTGTTGAAGTTTTTCTTTGGTGAGGTTATTTGTCTTCACCTGATTCCATGGTTGTTGCTCGTGGTGCAGTCTGTGAGGACACACCGAGCCCAAAGACCAAAGATGCTTGCCAGACCACTCCGGTCAAGCCGACCGCTAAGGCCAAGGCATCGGCCGCTAAGGCCAAGGCCAAGGGAAAAGCGAAAGCTGAGAAGAAGAAGAAACACGAGGAGGAGGGTGATGGAGAGACAAAGGAGACAAAGGAGGTGGAAAAGAAAAGCAAGAAACATGAGAAGAAGGGCGATGGAGAGACAAAGGAGACAAAGGAGGTGGAAAAGAAAAGCAAGAAACATGAGAAGAAGGGCGATGGAGAGACAAAGGAGACAAAGGAGGTGGAAAAGAAAAACAAGAAACAGCCAAAGGGCAAGGCTAAGGTGAAGCCATCCCCTCAGCTGAAGCAGAAGGGAAAGAAGAAGGACAAAAAGGCCAAGTCGGATTGGGAGAAAGAGATGCTGGCTGCAGAAGAGCCTGAGCCTGTCAAGGAAGAAAGCACTGCCGAGGCTTCTTCAGCTCCAAAGCGGAGGAAGAAGACCAAGTCTGAAGTCAAGGAGACCAAGTCTGAAGTCAAGGAGTGTGATGACTCACAACTCTCTTTGGCGACGCTCTTGAAGGGACAAGAGCAGATGATTGCACAGTCCATCTGGAACAATGCCAAAGACATGATCGAGTCACAAGAGAGCCAGTCGAAGTCTGAGCTGATGTCTGCACTTGGCGGCAGTGCAAGTGAAGTTTTCACAGAGAAGCTGGCGGAGGAGTTCCTCAAGTTCCTGAAGATCAAGGCCAACCCCGATGAGGTTGAACATGATCTCGAGAAACCTGGGGACACGGTGATGGATTCCAGCGGTGGCCTTTCTACAGAAGCTCTGCGAGCTCTAGAGGAGCAAGAGACCGTTCCAGGTGACATAACCGAGGTTGCAGCAGCACCCGCTGAGCCAACAGCACCAGCGACCAAAGCACCGGAGGTGGTGCCACCAGTCGCCCCCGAAGCATTGGCTCTTCCCAGCGTGCCCGCAGCAGCACCAGAGACCAAAGCACCGGAGGTGGCGCCACTGGCACCAGTCGCCCCGGAAGCACTGGCTCTTCCCAGCACGGCACCCGCAGCAGCACCAGAGACCAAAGCGCCGGAGGTGGCGCCACTGGCTCTTCCCAGCACAGCACCCGCAGCTCCCAGCACGGCGCCCGCAGCAGCGGTCCCAAACCTGCTACGAACTCCCCCGCACATACGTTTGGGCTCTACGGTGGCACATGTGTCCTTGGGGCAGCAGCGTCAGATGCTGACAGCAGAGGACCTCAAAGGGATGGATGAAGGTGCCTTGCCAAAATCAATTATTTCCAGGAGCGCTGCAAAGGGTTCTTTTCAATGAGTTTGCTATTTTGTTTTGTGTTTTTGTTTGGGGGAGGGGTTGTACAATTTTCAGACTTGCAATTATTGCAAAGCGAACATTCTGCAGAAGTATGATGAGGGCCTCATTCCAGATGATGTGATCACCAGCAGCAATTGCCGGCTCTACATGAGGATGCGACGCTACATGGAGGACCACGCCACAGAAGTGTCTTGCCCAAACATGTTGGCCATGTTCAATGGGACCTTGAAAGAGCGACGCTCTTTACTGCGGCAGTGGCTTTCTTCAGGCGAGAATGCTGAGCGGTGTGAAGTTCAGCTGAAGGTCTCCAGATCGGTTGATGATGAGATGGACACAGAGGAGCAGCTCCTCACAATCGATGGAATGAAGCGTGCAGGAATGAGTGAGTGACTTGTTTGTGCATTGGTCATTGGTTTGCTTTTTGTTGTGGTCTGCAGGTATCGCCTTATGTTTCTACTTTGCCACTGTGCATTGTCAGGCCCAAAATTGCTGCCATCATCAGCAGTCAAGCCCCAGTGCTGGACCGAGATCATCCACATATCATGGAAGAAGCTCGCTACTGGTGCCACATTCAGACCAAGCGAGTTTGCCGGCAAAGGAGCCGCCTTGAGCTCAATGCAACTTCCCGTGTTCGAGCTGATGGTGCTGCGATTAATGGCTTGCTGTCGGAGGCTCGTGGGCAAGCGCCCAATGGTCAACCAATGCAGCTCCAACAGGCCATGGAGATGCTTAAGGCACAGTCTGCGCCGAATGGTGACAATGCAGGTGGCCAGCCTTCAACGAAGGCAAAGCCACAACCCAAGAGGAAGACCAAGAACCCCCCCATGCCTCTGAACCCCAAGTCCTGGAAGAACATCATTGCTGATGGGTGTAGCTTGCCTTCGATTTCCCTCGTGTATTTTTGGTGTTTCCCTGGGTGTGTTGTTGGTGTCCAAAATTGATGCATTTGGTTTGGGCGCCCGCAATCGAAGCTGAGGCAATGATTTGAAGAAGGAGTATCTCGCGGCGACCTGCGCATTGGAGCTACCAAAAGGGAATGACTTGAGGGTGAAGCTGACCACCCTTAAGGTTGAGATTGGCCAGATTTGGGATGACACCAAAGTCATTGATGCCGATTTGATCGATGAAACCACCTTTGAGAAACACATGGCCAAGATTGCTGATGTCCTCACCCGCTCCAAGATGCTTCGCGTGCAAGCACGAGCTGTCGCCCGGGAAATGGCTTCTCGGAGGATTGCAGGTGTCAATTTGTTGCTATGTGTTTTTCCCTTATTTTCTTTCCATGCGCTGTCGGTTGTTTGCAGAGACCTTCGAGGCTAAGAAGGACAAGACGGACAAGTGATGCTGAGATGGCTTTTGTCAGATGCCTGTACTGGCGTGCTAGGTCCTAGCTAGATAGATGCCCATTCATCAATTTGATGTACTGTTGGCGCATGGTAGGGGATTTAACATCCAGGGATGAACAACCTTGGATGTGTCAGGGGTCTCGAGGACGTGAGATGTGAAGAAAAAACTCGATCTGAGCACCTTTGAACGCTATCTTGTATGCAAAGTGTTCATTTGCATTATTTGGTTTAGCCTCCTTGGAGGTGCCATTGGTCAAGCCATTCGACACCATCTGGACCGTGAGATTGCCCTTGGATTTGGCCAAGGTGATTTGACACAAGCCTTCGCTGAAAGGTTGGGGAGAATCTATGGTTCTGACACCTTTGGGGTTTCAGAAAGTCGACCTCCAGAAAGTCGAGTGCACAGGCGTGCTGCCAAACATGGCCTCTCCATAAAGTGTGAGATCTCTTATGTGGAGGTTCCTGTCAAAAATGACGAGGATGAGATGGAGATTGTGGGTTGGCCAGTCCTTTTGCCACGAGATTTGATGATTGCCCTCATCAACTCTGGTTATCTTCACATGCTGGCTGGTACAGTTGAGCAGCGGGAAGCTTTTTGGGAGCGAGCTTTGCTGGATTACCCTCAGGAGACGAACAACATAGATCCCAAATGTTGTGCTCCATATTCCTTGTATGGAGATGAATCCACCATTTTCAGAACATCGTGTATGATCCTTCATTGGCATCCAACCCTGAGCCCCAAAAATACAAACAGCCTTCTATCACGATTTCTCCTTTGCATAGTTCCAGCAGACAAATACTGGGTGGTTCATTGGCTTTGCAAAGTAGCAGTCTGTTCCTTATGATATTTGCTGTTTCTACCATATTAAAGCCATTGGGGTAAATTGGGACAACCTCAGACCTCAGGTAAACTCAATCAACTTTACACTCCAGACGATTTGTGAGCGCATTGTGGCTTCGCTCAATTCTGTCGCAGATGAGGGAATACCTGTGACAAAAGGTGGGATGTATGATCCGCACAACAGTGCTGATGACCTGTGGATGCTATAAATCACATTTTGTTCTTTTGGTGTGTATGTGTTCTTTGTGAGTTTGAATTTGGACTGTTTGTCAAAACAGAATACTCAGGGCTGGACACTGAGATTCATTTTCCAAGCGCTTCGCGGTGATTGGAAATTTATGAAGCAAATTATGTGCCTTAAACGGCACCCGCAAACCAACTTGATTTGTTGGTCCTGTCTGGCAGAGAAAGCTGGGCCAAACAACATGACTGATCTGAGCAGCACAGCTGGTTGGCGAGCTACAGTGAACAACTGCCCTTCTCCATACACCTTTGAGCCAGCTCTGGCGTCGTTGCGGCATTTTGCCTTGCAAAAGATAGGCTATGACTGCCTGCACATTTGGCATTTGGGGGTAGCGCGTGACCTGAGATTTGGCATTGTAATTCATTTTTTGAGCCAAAAAACAGATTAATTTACTCTGCGCATATATTTTATATTGTTTTGATTTGTCGATTTGAGGATTGGTGCAACTATGCATTTGCTGATCCGGGGTGGTTGGTTTGGCAGAGGCAATCTGCAACAACGCCTTCGTGTGGCAACTGGCCAACTCAGAGCCTACTGCAAACGTGCTGGGGTGAAAACAGCTCTTCGTTGCTTTAGTCAGGATAACCTTGTGTTGAAGGCAGGCTCCTTTCCGGAGCTTCGGAGCAAAGGAGCGGACAGTACGATCATTTTGCAGTGGTTGGCAGAGGAACTGGCTGATGTTCAGGATCCTCAGTTCGCGAATCTATCGGCCTTGGTTTGTCTGGGCCACATGTTTATCTGGCTGCTGTGCGGGGGACCTGCCTTTTGTGACCGTCAGAGGGCGGACCAGATGTTGACGACCTGTGAGGGTTTCATGAAGCTCTACCTTTTGATGCACCATCAGCATCCTGCAGTGTTCAAGATTCGGCCCAAGTGGCACCTCACATGGCACCTAGGTGCTGAAGCTTCCCTGCGCCCATCAGGGCGCAACCCATCCGCTGATTCGACATGGGTTGATGAAGATTACATGAAGAAGTTGAGTAGGCTGATCCGAAAACTACATCGGAAAACATCAGCCCACACAGCTTTGTCAAGATATCTGATCATGATTGGTCAGAAACTACGTTTGCATATGGGATGAAAAGTTTGCCTGCTGCTTTGTGGGAAGTCTGAGAGATTATTGACATGTGTGTGTGTGTGTTTTTTTTCCTTTTCTGGGGGGTATGTTTGGTTTGTGTGCGGTGTTTGAACTTTTGGGGGGTATGTTTGGTTTGTGTGGGGTTGGTTTGCAAACGCATGCTAATTCTGATGTTTGCAGATGGTTGCAAACCATATTTACATTGGTTTTTGCAAGCAAACGCATGCTAATTCTGATGTTTACAGATGGTTGCAAACCATATTTACATTGGTTTTTGCAAGCGAACACATGCTAGTTCTGATGTTTACAGATGGTTGCAAACCATATTTACATTGGTTTTTGTATTGAAAACCATACTAATATTGGTAGCCAGGAGCCATTTGTTGAGAATAAATTAAATTCTCAACGTTTGAGTGTTTGTGAAACATTTTGTTCAACAAACGCTCCTCTAGGACCGGTACAACTTCCTGGAGAAACCCATTTGGAGCCCACACCCAACGTCTGACGCTGGCGTGTCCGGCCGAAACGGCCGAAACCGAAACGTGGGGCACCCCTCCAAGCGCGGAACCCGCTCAGTGCGGCACCATCCAAGCCCGGGCCTCTAGAGCCAGCTTCACCCCACGCCTGGAAGCTCGCTCCGCTCCGCTGTGGCAGGCGAAGGAAGGCGGGGCACCAGCGTGGAAGCCGCGTGTGAGAGGGTTGATGGTACTCGTACCCAAACGCGACCCGTCTGGGACATGCCATGTCGGACGGCCTTCAAAACGGCCGACCGGGGTGGTGCCAGGGGGTCCATGAGGCGGGATATATGGTAGTCCCATGGAGTGTATGGGGTATGATGTATACAGTATGATACACATATATATATATTTCCATGGATGTCATGCCTGAAAAGTGAAAAGGGCCGCCGTCTACTCTGAAGGTGCAAAAGGTCTGCATCGGAACATGTTGTTCTTTAAGCACAGCAAGTTGGTGGTCTACTGTACTGTGTTGCTAAACAGCGGCCCAACTGTTCCTGTTGTTCCCAACGGCTTTAGTCTACACTTGTGCAGAGTTCCAAGACATCCACATGCTCTCAAACCGCTGAAGTAGTCAGTCTCTACGTAGGGTGCTTTCAGAGATATATCGTGTCATGATGGCGACCATCCCCAACATTGGCTCAAACCAACCTGACACCTATAGTAAGCAAGACTGAACATCCATCAAACATCCTATGAACATGTCTTACTTCATCTGCTTCTCTCTAAGCGAGTCGCATGATCGAACGGCAACTTGCCTGCCCACCCAGGTCGTGTTTTTGTCTCAATCACCCCAGGTCATTGTAGAGACCAACCCAGTCATGTAATGTGTCCAACAAGCTTTAAGTGAACATATATCCACCCTGTCCCTGTCTTAATTTCTGTCTAATCAGAAGCCCCGATTCAGCCCAAGTGGCGCTAGCGATGACGCGCAAATCAACACCCACGGCCTGAGCGGTACCGGGCCACTGAACGGCCCCAGTCACGCCACGGAGCTGGGAGGATCTCGTTGTTTCAAGGCATGGAAACAGGTTCAACATCCACCTCTATACCTGGTGGGGGCCACACTGAGTCATGTTGAGTCCCTATATGTCCCTATGGCATCCGCATCTATCGGGTGCGGATGAGACACCTTGATTGCGCCAGGAGGGTCCAGTCGTACCATCTGAGAAGCTTTGGATTCCTAGGGAGTGAGGTTACTTCGAAACAGTGGTCATCCTATGTCATCCGTTCTTTCTAGATGATGTGGTAAAGCTGAGATCCTTTGATATGTGGTATTGGCATGTCTTGACATATCTTCAACATCCGTTCTGCAAGCAATGATGAAGTTGCTTTTAAACAGAGTGTGTTGAAGGGGGGAGTGGACCCAAGATGCATGGAAGAACATCCGCAGGATATTTCAGCCTGGACCCCAACTGATGTCCTTTCCCATCCTTTTCCCGACAAAAAGTGCCAAACATACGTGATCCTTCAAAGGTGGCAAACAAGTGTGTGTCCAACCCTGTGAAAGGAGATATGCTCGAACGCCCCCCCAAGTGCACCCGAACATGATACAACAAAAGACACAACACAAACGACGTTCCCATGGTTCAAAGGTCTAAGGTATCAACAGCTCCAGCTCTCTTCTCTCTTGAAGCCGAGAGCTGCCTCTCTGTACAACTCGTACGGCTGGGGCCTCTGACTCAGCAGGGGTGGCCTCTGTCCGTTGCAGGGCCTGATGGGAAAGAAGGCTTTCCGTTGGGAAGGTGGATGTTCTCACCAGGTGCACATCCTTACTGTAAAAGGTTCAACCAAAAGAGTTCTTCTACCCAGAGGCTGCTACCCGAGTTGTGAGGGTCAAAACCCAAACCCACTGTGGACCTTCAGGTTTGTCACATGTCCCTCCAACGGTTCCAATTCCTGCGATTGGGCTGGAGTGACTGCTACTCGGAACTCCGGCGGACAGGTGCTGCCACTAGAAGTTCGTGGAGGAAATTCATCCTCATCACCCTAATCACAGGTGATTTAAAACTAACGCACCAGTCAACCCTGTGATCTTTGACCATGTCATGCATACAATACACAATATATACAGTACTGTAGTACAGTATGTTACAGATTGTTACAGTATGTCCTGTCCTTTTTCTGTTGCTCGTCGGATCTTGTCCGCTCATCCCGCTTCGCGCTCTCTGTGCGCCGCAGGGTCGTTCGGCCTCCCGCAGCTGTGCCCAGAGCCGCTGCGTGCGCGCAAAGTTCTCCTCGAGGCGGCGATTCGCGATCTCCAGCAGCGTCTGGGCGGTGCCGGAGACGGAGAGAGGTGTTGGGCGGTGCGCGAGGAGGAGCTGTTGCGAGCGGAATTGAAGGAATTGAAGGAAGAGACACGGAAAGAATGAACAACACATTGACATAGAACTAACAAAAGCGAAAATGTGTGTGTGTGTGTGCGTGCGTGCGTGTGTGCGCAAGTCATTCTTGTTGGACGTGGTCCACTACAAGTAACTATAGCTTGTTCTTGGGATCAGGAGTTGCGAATGGGCGAGGTTTGGATAACAATTCCAAATGATTGAGCACAAACAGTGAGGAACAAACAAAACCGTGCAAGCAATCCCTGGCAACGAAGATGACATGATTCAACAAGGTATAACAAGGTTATCGCTTTTGAGGGGGGGCATATTGCATGCTTTTGCAGGTTTAGCCAGCAAGACCACCAAAATTCGCGACCACTCTTTACTAAACTAAATACGTGTCATTGCACGTTTTTGCGGTTGCACACAAGTCTAACCATATCTTCTCTCTACTTCTCTGCGATGATATACGCTCGACCCGACTCCACTCCAACGGGCAGTGACGCCGCCTACGGCCGGCCCCAAGTCGTTTCTTCTGTCGACGCTCTTCGCGGCGCGTGGTGCGACGCCTTGCACGACGCTTTGCGCGGTGCCCGGGGCCTGGAAGTAGTTTCCATCCACCAGGAGTCGACCATCACTGGCCAAAGGCACTTCCAAGCGCAGGGCCTCAAGGGCGCCAGGTGCCGGGCCAGCGGAGGTCCTTTTTTGACCCCAAAATGCAGGCTGAGAGGATGGAAACGAGGTGGAATTCGTGGAAGTTTGTAGATCGGAACCGGGGAGATCTAGCTCATTCTAGGTCTGGTTGACTAGACCTGGACCATGTCCCCCACGATCGGCGCCCCCACGATCGGCACCACGGCGATAGACCGGGGAATCACTCATTCGGTCCGAGGAGCTAAGGTCCGGATCTGCACCATGACGCGCTTGCGACCCAGGCTGAGG